ACACTTTTGATTCATTGCACATGGATCATACCAATGCCAAAAGACGTCAAGAGGCTTTTAGCCTGATTATTATGTGCACTTTTAATTAGGAAGCTGTATGCTGATATTTCTAACAGCAAAGACAGTTGAGGATATCAGACAACCTCGCATAATCTATTTGTTTTATCTTTATCCTTTTTTCCTGCCGTGCATCCATTTAAAATCAGAGTAAAACTTCAAAGTCCTTTTAAAGCTTGCATGAAACAGTAAAAATGATCATGTGAGGAATCCTATTGACAGTACATTTCCTTAAAGATCATTTAGAATTCTGTTGGGTTCTCAAGCCTGCTGCAACTTGAGGCATCAATCACATAAATAGACTTTTCTCCAGAGAACTACTGTGAAGCAGAGTCTCACGGTGGTTACAGTTTTGAAGAAACAGTTTAAGGTTGACCCTTTGCTGGTTGGCTCCAATCAACTCAAACACACAACATGTCTACAGAAAGGAAAAGAACTGTGCCGTGCTGAAGATGAGAGCCTAAACCTGTTACACTGACGCTTCTTCACACTTCCCCCTGGTGCAGGCAATTAATGCACAGCTCTTGCCAAGCACAGCAAGCTGTTGGTCCAGGCTTGGAGTGTCTAGGACAGACAACACAAACGCCAAATAAAGTCCCTACCCATTACTATTAGCTCCCATAACACAGGCCGAGTGATGACTTCCTGCAGTTAAATGGACTCCGTGCCAATCCCATTAGCAAACAGAAAACTGCTTCGAGTAGATTCCCACAAATTGTCAATTTGGAATTCCATGTCTTGTCTTGAGGCGGTGACACAGGAAATTAGCATGATATACAACATCAGGAGGATACGTCCCCAGCTGACTCAGAAAGCGACTCAGGTTCTGGTCCAGGCTCTCGTCATCTCACGCCTAGACTACTGCAACTCCCTCCTGGCTGGTCTACCTGCATGTGCCATCCGACCTCTGCAGCTCATCCAGAATGCAGCGGCTCGTCTGGTCTTCAACCTTCCTAAATGTTCCCACACCACTCCGCTCCTCCGCTCCCTTCACTGGCTTCCGGTAACTGCTAGAATCCACTTCAAGACACTGGTACTTGCTTACCATGCTGCGAATGGATCTGGCCCTTCCTACATCCAGGACATGGTTAAACCGTACACCCCAGCGCGTGCACTACGCTCTGCATCAGCCAAACGACTCGCTGCGCCCTCGCTGCGAGGGGGACCCAAGTTCCCAACGGCGAAAACACGTGGGTTTGCTGTCCTGGCTCCAAGATGGTGGAATGAGCTCCCCATTGACATCAGGACGGCAGATAGCTTGCACATCTTCCGGCGCAAACTGAAAACTCATCTCTTTCGACTCCACTTCGAGCGATAGAACTATTAACGAAGCACTTATATACTAATAAAGGACTGGCTTACCTAAAGCCAGTTGAGTAGCACTTGAAATGTTTGGCTCTATGAAACCTGATGTACTTATATGATTCTGTTTTCTTCAAGGTTGTGTCTTCCTGGTCGAATGTACTTATTGTAAGTCGCTTTGGATAAAAGCGTCAGCTAAATATAATGTAATGTAATGTAATATACACTATATATTTTGTTTGCATGCAACGTTACATTCCCCTACACTCTACTGTAAGTCATGCTTCAAATTTTAGCTTGAGATGTAGCCGCCCCCTCTCAGCTAGGAAGATGTCAGACTGTACCGGGTAAACTGTCCTTTTCACTTCAGTTACTGTTAAATGACATTTCTCCCATACAAAAACCTGAACCATCAAAACTTAAGGACATAATGAATTTGCCGGTCAGGAGTGTTAACTGAATTAAAATGAGTGAATGAAGGTTGTTCAACAGTGTGTTTACCCCAAAACCATACTTTTTTGCTTACAGTTTTATTTAACCATTGTATGCACTGGATTTTTCAGGCATATCTAGACCAGACATGTATAATGCAGAATCGGCAGGATATTCAATACATATTGGTTTAATATGAACTATTTAAGGATGTGCCACTTGGGGAGTGCAAAAAGCAGCAGGGTCAAAGTTACTGAGGTGATTTATGTGAGGTTCCAGTGTTTCTTTGTCCCATTCAGAGCAAGAGATGTTCTTAAGGACACATTTTGCTGTTAATAGGACGTTGTTTATGTTTATACTTAGATTATTCGACTAGTTTAAAAAAGGAAACGGTTTTATAATACTCATATATTGAAGACTAATCACACTTATCTAATTTAGAGCTCATGTTGTCTGATCTAGCTTGATTTCTGACTCCTGCGTCCTGTGATAGAGGTTAATTGCTTATAGAAAATAGGAACAAACGGCACCACTAACATTAGCTTGTTCTAAATGAAGACATATTTGGCACCACGTTTGGCTCTTTTACCAAAGCATAAAGACACAATAAGCTCCTGTGAAAGAGGTTGATATTTCCGTATTTGACCAGCCTGGGTTTGAGATTTTATCCTACCCTTTCCTGCTTTATTTGAGTCCCTCTCTGAAAGGTCACCTTTCTCAATACACCCTTCACTCTTAGGATCTATATCACTCCAAAGGTAAATTGAAAACCTTTTATTATTTCTGGATTATCCTCCCATGGCACACTGAGCTTTCTAGCACCTTTCATCAGGGCGCCATGTTCTGCTCACACAGAAGGCTGGGTGAATTACACAGAAGAAAAAATAAATAGAATCATTTATGGCCTTAAGGCTTTTATAGCTTTGCTCACAAAAGAGCTCTAAGAGTTGAGCTGAAAATACCTATATATATATATATATATATATATACTCCGTCGTCTGGAAATGGGAAACTACTTAAATCAGCTTTTCACTAACGTCCATAGCAACACATGGATTTATTATACAATACAGTCCCTTTCATTCTTTTATGCTGTTTGGACCGAGGCTTCATGCTGCTCGGTATTATGCTGTACTTTCTCTTGGTTCTCAAATGCAACAACCCCTGCCTGTTTTTACAGATAAAAGCAATAGGCCATATCATAGCTTTAACCTGCTGATCAGGCCTCTCAAATATAAAGAGCCCGTGTTCCCTATGGTTTGTGTTGCATGGTAGGACGAAGAGAAATGGACCAGGGGTTAAGAACACCTGCTGGAGGGTTGGAGAAAAGATAAACGAGCTGTCTGTGTTGTTGGGGGGGGGGGGGGGTTCGACAAAGAAGCCGTGTCCATTTTCTTATACGTTACAGTGTTGACTTCCATTACTGAACCCTGGCTGAAGGCGGCCATGACAAATGGTGTAGGAATCGGTAATGGCATACATAACACAATTGGGGCACCTGCGGCATGAGGGGCGGACGAAGCACGTCGTTACAGTAGCTGGAATTACAGATGACTTAACAGTGTGGAGCTTTGTAGCCTTACTAATAATACATTTGATTTCTATAGCGCTTTTCTTGAACCCAGAAAAGCGCTATAGAAATAAAATGTATTATTATTATATAATAATATAGCTGAATAGCTGAGTAACATCCAGTACAGACAGAAGTGGTTGTTTTTTTTGCTGTCTTGATCTGGAGCACAATGAAGGCAGTGGTGGTGAACCTAAACACTAAGCACATTGGTGTAAATATAATATAAATGACAACTGAATTCAAATGAGCTGCCTGAGTCCCAGGGTCCAGGTATCACAAATAGAATTCCATTCTCACACTTCCGAGCCATCGTTAATGTTATTAGCAACACCTGTGCTTTCCTGACTATGACTAATAGCGCCCTGTGACATCATCAGCGTAAGGCCATGAAGCTCAGTGCACCCGCACAGCTGGTAGTAATTATCTGCTGTCTCCTAGCATCTCAACCTGCTGATAGATTTAATTAAAAACCTAAAACTGGAAAGGTTAAGGCTTTTTTATGGGTAGGAATTCTTTCATTATCTCATTATCTGTGTATTTCCTGTTCTTTTTGTTCCAAAAGCCCATCCCCAAAGTACAACAATAAAAGAGGAACCTACTCACGATCCCTGAATTTTGAATTACTTATACTTTACTTGACTATTTCCTCCTCCTTTCTAATTATTATAATACATTTTAAAGCGATTTTTTTACATTTTCCGTAATGCAGCATCTCGAACGATTTAACTGTTTATGGTACAAAGAGGAACAAATGATCTTGTATTCTAAAAGGTTAACAAAGAAAGTCGTAAACATGAATCATTTGTGGATCAGAATGTAACTTATATGCTACTTAATGAAACATTATAATACAAATATATATATTTGTATCACATTTTGAAGTACTTTTACTTTAAATTGGCTTATAGTATTTTTACTAGCAGTTTTGCTAGCAGTATTTTAAAATGAATATATAGGTACTTTGACCTTAATAAGAGACCCGAGTCCCTATCTTCCACCAAATATATGAGGTTTTGCTCTTCCTCATACCCAGAGAGTATCCTCTAACTGATATCCATTTCAACAGTCAACAGCTTTCATTGATATTCAGGGAGCATGGCGTATTCCTGTGCGCGCTCTCACTGGGTAAAATATTTTAAAAGCTTCATGGGCTTGTGGACGGCCCGAGAAAAAAACAAATACTTTCTGCTTCTACACAAGTCTACGTCTCTGAAGGCTAAAAAAAGACGAGCGCTTTAAAGTTATGGCAGCTTCTGTTGCTATGGCAATCACTCCCGAGCCTCTTACTCATCACGGTACGAGAAAGTGCGAGTTTGAACTTCCTCAGGGCTTCTTGTCCGCCGAGGAATTTGATTCATGTACGCTGGGGAAGCGGACTTGCCATTGTTTGTTGTTTTATTATTCATCTTCCTTTTTTAGTTCCCATCTCCGAATACTCACAGTCCAGCTCGCCTCTGCTTAAGATGTGAAAGTGTTTCAAACTTTAGTGGAGAGCGAAGAGTCCGCAGGCACATACTGTTTATCACGCTGCATATTTAATACCAGAATCCATTTTTTAAAGATAATTGTTATGCCTTTATCTGAAAGTTGAAAGGGCGAGCCCTAGACTTTTTTATTGAAGAAATCACACATAACATCATGTTTTCCCCCAATATTTATTTTGGTTAAATAATGGACATTTGTCATGAAAATACTGCACATGTAGCCAGTAACCATAATAACTATATCAGACTGGATATACAGTGAAAGCAAAACATCACAAACACAATAACCTCACATTTAGAACCTTGCACAGCCATGACAGTATTCCCTGTTTCAACTAACAGACATTTACACATATTATAGTATTACAATGTAGCACGAGCAGGCACCAGATGTGGTCAAATGTAAAAATAATTCAGCAGAGACTGCTTTAGTAAACATTTAGAGCATGTAGAAGCACACAGACATCTTTCACCATCAGGGAAGGATGTCCAACACCATAAATACGATTTCCTCACCTCTTGCTCAGTTTGTTTACCGTTTCTTCTCTCAAAAGGCTGAGACTTACATGTTAACACTTTTCCTCAAAAGGTGTTAGAAACAACTCAAATCTTCCCGTAAAGAAAATCGACAAAAGAAAGCTAACAAAGACACAATTTCCCTTTTTTTTCAACAAGGAGGTACTCTGTAAGGCTGAGTAAAACATGAACGTGGAAACAATTAGCTATGTTTCTCAGGTGCAAAACCTGTAGACCAAAAACGAAATGTTTCATTCTGTGCCTGAGATAAAACTACAAAAATCACTCGCCGCAATTATGAATTATTCCACAAGAAGAACAAAAATACAAATCTAGCAGAGGCACATTTTACGGGCAGCCGTTCCCCGGGAAGCCATTATAAATAATTGAGAAACAATTTCTTCTAATTTACTTATGAGAGATTTGTCTACCGGCGGGAACATCTCCCAACACTTTTCAGGAATGAAGAAAAGCAGCTTTGTTTGTGGCATTTGTAAGTTTTGCAAGCTTAGAACGACTGTGTAATTCTTCAGTGAATACATAAAAACCCTCCATAGCACGAGCAAAATGATAATGAGCATCTTAAAGAACCGGCCCCATGAATCACCACAGACGGATCCTATTCAGAAAAGTGACATTTATGAAATATGACGCTACAGTTGATATTTTGTGCTGTCCCTTCTTTAGTGTCCCCTCGAGACGGTCACAAATTGTTCCACATGGTTTGTTTGGCGTAAAGTGTTTTACTCTTTTTTTTCCTTGTGCCGCCTGGAGCGCCTAATGGGATTCTTGTTGAGGGAGGTGGAGATAAGAGAGGAAGCGGCTGTGCTCCCGTGCCTCCGTCTCATTTCACTTTCAATTTGCATCAGGCACTGTTCTGGGGACAGGGTAGGAACTTGATTCCTCACCCCTAAAGTGGATTTGTCCGTAAACTAACTTGGTAAATAATCAATTACTTTTGTAGCCGGCTTTTTAAAGTTACAGTACTGACCAGAGGACTGCAGTGGTGGAGGTGCTCCATATATCCTTAAAGGAATAATTAGACATATTGGATCGTCTATTGTAGGGTTTCATGATTTGTTCAAAAGAAAACCAATCGCTCTTAAATTCTCTGATTGCAATTGTGATATGATCTGAAACATCATTGAACAAAAATATTTAAAAAATGAATTTAGATATTTTCACATATTACTGCGATTTGGATATTGCACTTGTCCATATTTTGCTACAGTATATCAATAATCTGATATATTAAGCTGCCCTAGTAAAGCAACCGTTAGCTTAGTAAGTAGAAGCAGGGGGATACAGCTAGCCCTACGGTTTAAAATCCCAAGTAAAATGTTATTTAATCATTTCTAAAAACACGGTACGGAATTGTTTTTTTTAATACCGCTTTGTGTTGGCAGGGTGGTTCATTTAAAATGTTTTACGGTCTGATAAACTTTCCCTTACTCCAACTTGTGTTTTTACAAACAAGATATCACGTGTACATTATTAAGCTAAGGAATGCAAGGCGTACTTTCTTAAACTTTGGACGAGGCGAGCATCGTGGAGATTTGCTGCTTTTTAATAATTCATAACCTGCTAGCCTGCCGAGGTGAATATAAAAAGAGAAAATAATATTCAACAAAAACAGTTCATTTTAGAGAGCAAATCTCTGCCTCTCTGGGAGCTTTTACCAACACTTTAGGTGAGCAAGGTCACCTGAAAGTGTATGCACTGCTCATCCATAATGCACCAAGATGTACTTAGTGAAGGTATGAATCTACAGGCAAAGCAATTACAAAATAGCTCTGGATAAGAAGCTTATAGTTATTATTTGTACTCAGCTGTAAGATCCTTAACCATGTGTTACTCCAATTTGTAACACGAAAAAAACCTGTAAAAAAATAAATATTTGATGAAAGATAAAAGTACACTAGTGAAAGAAAATCCTGACTAAATTCACGAGGCTGGCTCACAAAGATATGGAAATTGCCTCCTGCCTTAATTACAAAAGCGCACATGGAGTGCAGGCCGCCAGATGAGGTGTTTACAGTCAGCCTTCATGTAGGATTTTTGAGTGCCAATTGCCCTCCTGCCCCCTCTGCTACCGCCTGTAAACTGCTCTCGGACAGCGCTGGGCGCCTGCTAATCTAAGCTGTCACCCACACGCCATTCCCATTGATGTATTCATACGCCTCTGCACTGACAGGGATACACAGGAGGGAGGTGGGTGTGTGGGTGGGGGGCTGCAGGGACGTGAATGCTCGGTGATGGAGGACAAGAAGAAGAGGAGCAGACTTAAAAGTGATGAAACAACAGCCTTCATATGTAGGACAGAAAGTATTACATCATACTGTTTAACACAAATCCAGATATGTTTGAGCTGTAGCGGTAACATTCAGAGTCTTCTTTATATATTTATACAATGTTCACTGCAACAGCATCATGGCCATATTTTGGCCGAATTCACTGAATTCAAATTAGGTAATGAGTAATTTGTAGTTTCATCGAGAACAACATGTCCTGTTTTTAAAATAATATCAACTGCTTGCTTATGGACCTAGAAATCATGATACAAAACAAGACTATCTTAATATTGCAGACAGCGGTAAGCTTAATTAGATAATCCTACTTTCCATGTTATTTGAATGCTTGATTCAGCAAACCAGATCTTTATGCTAAGCTAAGCTAACCAGCTGCTGGCTGTTACTTCATATTTAGCACACTCTCAGCAAGTAAGCGAATGGGCTGTTTGTCTTGTAAAAAGACTGTCTTGAGCTAGCCTTTACTGCTTTCACTTTTATTGTAATCGCTGTATTTCTATTATTATACACAGGTTCAAACCCCACTGCAGTCAGCATGTCGTTGTGTCCCTGAGACACTTCACCCCAAATGTCTCCTGTGGGGATTGCCCACAGTGTTGAGTATGTAAGTCACTTTGGATAAAAGCGTCTAACAAGTGACATGTCATGTAATACAGGACTTGTTTTTGACAAACAACTCTTTTCAACTGTACAGTAGCTCAGGTTGAGTTCCTTGTCTCGAATGAAAGATGCTATTTATGTTGTTGTTGTTGTTAACGATTCGAAAGGCTCAGATGTGCAGCGTCAGAGGGGCTAGTTGTCATCAGTTTTCTGAAGACATAGCCATGAGTTTTGCAGGAGAGGAGAGGGTCCCTGAGAAACACCTCGTTAGTCTATGCCTGGAAACGGGCTCTTTGTACTTAGGTAATGTTCAGAGTAATTGGCAGCACTGCAGCGGAACGCAGCGCTGGTTCATAAAAGACACCGCAGAGATAATTGAGCAGAAAAGGTGAGTCTGACTCCGTGCCATGTGTAGCAGGGGCAGACTGGAGCAACGGGCAAGTGCAATCAACCTTTCATAGATTGACTATGTGTGCTTTTCTCTAACAACTCAAATCCTGAAGGTAATGTCTTCATCAGTATTCAACAGACATGTGTAGCAGTCGCAACAGGAGACTTTAGTTTGACGTTCCATGCTGCAGGGTGGTGCAACGCAAGACAATTGCCAGATTCAAAACATTCTCATTTGTGCTGTGCCAAGAAAAAGGCTACAGCCCTTAGATGTTTATCGTCAAGATGAACCTTCCTTTTCAAACTGAACCGAGAAGCGGTGCTGCACATGTTGGCGTAAGCAGAACATATGCTGTACACACAAGAAGTGATGAAACATAACTCAATAAAAGCAAAACACTAAGTCAGAGTTAAGCAGGAAGTGTGTCCTGAATAAAATGCAGCCACTGTTCCCTTTTGAAATGTTTTGGTATAATAGACTGATTACTAAGAACCCAACGATTTTCAGAGTGGCCTTTCGTAGAATAATTCTGATAACTGCGAGAGATGCCCTGAATGACTAAAGATCGAACCACATTAAACACAAAAGGAAATGAAATCCATACTGATTCTTTACAGAGGTAATGAGTCCTCCTTGTTCAACAGTATGTCTCCATCAATAATATACCTTTGACACAGTAAGAACATAAAGACAGTATTTACAAGTACACAGGATTCCCATTTTTCAACGTCGCTAAAATGTCCGTCAGCCAGTGAACAAACTACCATGACAAACCAAGCCACACAAAGAGCACAGGCACTTGATGTTCTCTTCGGGATGCAACAAAGCGGATGCTGCTGATTAAACAGAAGACAAATAATGTCACTAAACCGATTCGCCTCACATTCTGCAACCATGCACGCAGAACTTGAAGGAGACCTTTGCGAAAAAGCTTCATAAACCAGGGCAGGGACATTACTCAGAGAATGACTCATATCATATTAAGCTGAAGATTGGAGAAAACAGATGGTGCACACAGTAAGCCCTGCTCCCTGACACAGACTGATGCAAACACCCAGCTTTGCTTGAGGCTCAGCAGGTGGCGGTGGTGCAGACGGTGGTGTAGCTACATTTGGACATGGAGGTAGCCATGGACGTGCCCATGGAGGTGGCGTTGATGCCGTCTTCTCCTCCCTCTTTCTTCTTGCACCACCAGCGGCAGAGCCGGTTGCGGCAGCAGCAGGCGAAGGTGGACAACAGGGCCTTGCGGAATCGCATGTTCATGAAGCAGTAAATGACGGGGTTGACGCAGGCGGAGGAGTAGGACAGCAGTTGGATGAAGGAGATGGGGGCCCCTGAGAGGGCTTTGGAGGCTGACTTCAGGTCGAATGCCTTCCAGGTGTTGGCCGAGTACAGCGGCATCCAGCAGATGAAGAAGAGTGCCACGATCACCATCAGCATGCGGATGACTCGCTTCTTGGCCTGCAGCTTGGCCTCCGAGGTGTTTTTCCGGGCGCGCTCAGATTTGGCCTGGGCGGCGGAGAGGGTGGGGAGCTCCACAGCGGAGGTGGGTTTTTTAGACACCTGGATGTAGCAACCATCGTCGTCATCGTTGGATACTGCAACCGTCTTTCCTACACCGTTCTTCTGGGCTGTGGAGGATCAAAAAGTTTACATTTGAAGAGCTTTGGGTGGATTTCAACATAGGGTTACCAAGAATTAAAGGGATAGTTCAGTGTTCAGTGTTTTAAGTGACATTTGGATAGTCAGTCTTTGGACCTCCGTTCACTTCCAGTTTGGAGAAACCGACAGGTATAGCAACACAATGGCTAAGCCATGTACTGCTGTGGAGGAGGGCAGCAGCTAAATAGATTTTAGCCACCTGAAAGAAAGGGCCAGCTAATAAATCCAGATCAATGTAAGAATACACTGTATTCACCATATTTGCACTGCTTCACCTTTCTGTCAGACCTGTCCTAAAGGTGAGGAACTTTCTGTTTACAGTCCTCTCTTCAAAGCCATCATACTGGATTGACAAAAACACTAATTTGTTGTTATTGTGTGCCTCTAGTTAATCCAAACTAACCCTTTAAAATGCAAATTCAAACTATAACACAAACAAACTAACTCATCAAGGCAGCGGTGTTCTTTTCAGTGGAGGCTGGTGGATTAAAAAGAAAGCATAAATAAAAGCTTTAGTCTCTTGTGCCAAAGGGCTGTCTGACTGCAAGGTTAAGCGGTGTAAATATTCTAAACATAGCATGGTGAAAGAAATAGATTAACTATGGATTAGTACCTCATTCAACCCCACTTCAAAACATTAAAACTTTCCCTTTAACACATCAAATAATGATCATTATAAATGGGAGGATTAATTACAACAAGAACAAAACACTGCCTAAATACCAAAGATAATAGTTCCCCATTTCCCCATGTTAAGCCATAGATAGCAGCTGCTACCGAAGGCTATTTAAGATCGTCTCAACCATGGAAACAGTTACGACAGCAGTTATAATTCACCTTAAGGGACCCTATTTCAGCTATAATAAAAATATGTGTCCTTAATTAATGGAAAATACTAGCTGTAAGGCTGCAGACAATTCCAAACACATAAAAATGACAACTGAGAAGAAGTCTATTTTTGTACATGACAGGTGCGGTACCTGTAGTTGCGACAAAGTATGTCTCTGCTTGAGGCAAAACAATAAAACGTCCTTTCACAGTCATGCTGCATTATTTGCGCGCCTGAGAATGGTGCAGACGTGTATTTAATGGAGTTCTATCATTACTGGCAGCTGCCATGTTTAACCAGACCCTGCTTTCGAATGTCATTCACATACTGATTTATGAAAGTGTAAAAGACGTTTTCATCCTCAGAGTAAATTAAATCAATGCAAGCTAAAAGCCTGTTGCAGTTTGGATTGGATTTGCGATGGATCTCACCGGTGGGGGTGCTCCCTCTGTTCTGGCCCACCTCAAAGTGAATGCCTCGGAAGAGCTCTCTGGAGATCAGACCGTAGGCTACAATCATCACAACTCCCGGGATGAAGAACAGAGTGAACAGCAGCAGCACATACCTGAAAGACAGCCAGAGTGGAAAAGAGAAAAACAACTTAGAGGTGTGATGGTGTGCAATCAACCCCTGAAACCAAAACAAACACATCTGATTTTTTAGCTACTTTCTTTCCTCATACGCCTTTGGCTATGTTGGGGCTGCTGGGGGTCTTGAGGATGGTTGACCCCTCCCCACAGCCCCATTTACCCCCGTGGTGTCTGGCAAAAGGTACTGCAGTACCCCAGGCCAGTTCTGCCCCTTTACCTGCGGGCTATCAAACTCTTCAGCGTCCTGTGGTTTAACCTTCCTTCTCTATATTTGATTTTTTCTTTTGCTGCATATTTTTGCCCTGCTTTAAATCCATTCTTGATTTTTTTTTTTTTTAAATGTCCGTACATTTATATTGTATGGATCGAGGAAAAAGGATGAAATGCTGCCCTAATTTATTTTGCACATGTGACCAGGCACATTGTGTACGCTGCACACAAACATTAAGTTTCGTTCATGCCCTCCAAACACGAGACTACATCAGGTCTTCATAGTTTGCAAAGTGATGCGGGCCAGTTGGACCAGTTAGCTACTGCAGGTGTTAACGTTGAAAACACTACGTTCTCTAAGAAAGTGTTAGCCATCCTGTTTGACTGACAGAAAGCTTTCAACACAACCTTCACATTAACATATTGGCAGTTTACACAGTAACAGTGCATATTGACACATATAGAAAGACTGTTCTCAGACGTCACAAATGACTATACATAACAGGAGACATCACCAGAAGATGTTTCTGTAATGACATTGTTAAGTATGACATATTTGGACAATTGAGAGATGTTCATGCCGCTCCAGGCTGTGTACTCGGCTGTTTTCCGATCATAAATGTTCAATTGTTTTCTGCCACAGAAAGAAAATAATAATCATGGTGCTCTCGAGGGCCTGGATTGATGGCACCTCAAAGAAAAAGAAGTGAAGTGAGTTAAGTGCATGGAAACTGAAGCAAATATTGACTGAGGAGAGTTTTTCAAGAGTCTACAAAATTCAAAGGGCTCAAAGCCTTTGTCAGTAATTGACTGCAGAAACCACTCTGCAAATATTCTGTATGAGACATCTAACACTTTAAATATGCTGTTAAGGGCAATGAATGACTTATTAAACATATACAAGTACATACTCTATTAGGGCCAGAAGATAATTGGCCAGATATTTCTACATTTTTTATTCATTTGGATATTCAGATTTGAGATTTTTTAAGTTGTGATTTAACATTTCTTGGCGGAAATTTTTGTGCCTTAAATGAGACAAAAATACATGTCCTGCATCTGAGCCGAGAACAGCTAAATGTGTGTCCTATACGCATCAAACGAATGAAACCTTTAAGTGAAAGTGAACTGAAGGGAGCATCACCATTATGTATCAGGGAAAAACTATAAAGAGTAACCCATGAATGAATACGCTAAAGAACCTGTACAGGTGTCACTTTGATCGGAATAAATCTTTACCAGACACATCTCCACTTTGATCCGTCATAATCTCAAACGCACGGATGTCTGTGATATTTTAATGTCTTCCTGGACAACCCTCTGAACTCTCAGCCCCTCTCTTTCACTCCGCATTCAGTCAAAGCCTCTCATCAGATAGCTGTTTGATACTGTGGAAAATGTGTTTGACAAAAGCTGTCAGGAAGTAAACATGTAGGAGAAAAACCAGAAGGGTATGGTGGATATCTGAGCTTGTTTTGTCTCAGAGGGAAGCCCAGATGGACGGCATGAATATTCATATCTGTGGACTGTTTCCAAATCACCTGAAATCTGCATGATTATCAACAGGAAAGGTGTGTTGGGTTTAGATTCATAATCAAAGGAAATAATATGCATATGCCTGATACTACAAACACCAATAAACACATCCTGTTGTGGGGAGATGAGGGGAGTGGATCATTGTATAACTTTGCAGAGTTTTGTGTAATTCTTAGCTGGAAAATATGCAATTTTAAAGGTGGGGTAGGTAAGTTTCAGAAACCGGCTCAAGATACACTTTTTGTTATATTCCATAGAATGCTCTTAACATCCCGATAGCAATGAATATTTTAAGTGCTTTGACAAAAAAATCCATAAAAACATTTCATCAGCCGGCCCGGCTAAACGGATTGGATTGCCGCCCTGTCTGTCAGCCTTCCATCTCGTGCACGCACAAATGTATCTCGTGCCCTCATTGGGCGTGCATTGCAGCAGTACTTCAATGACTCGCCAGCAACAGGCGGCCACCTTCACCAGTCTGCTGACGTCATGTGCGCGTTCATGTGTGTTGGAGGAGGTGCTCTGTAAGGAAGTCTGAAGGAAGGGGCGGATTCTTTTCGGCTGTGTACTTTCAAATTTTAGTGCACTCGAGCCGGTTTCTGAAACTTACCTACCCCACCTTTAATTGTTTTGTATGTAACCTACATAATAGCAATTTTAACGTAGTTTTGTTTGGTACCAAGTTGCATTTGTTATTATACTTTGATTAGTTGGATTATCATGACATTTTGTACAATGAGCCCGATTCTTCCCTTTACATTGACATCATTATACGTCCGTCCAATCTTTTGAATCCTTTACCCTGGATTTAGACTCTCAGGCTACAGACTGTCTTCCCCATTTCTTGGAGGTTTTTAGAGGGCTGTACAAAGCCTGAGAAAAAGTCTACAGCCATTACTTATTGTTTAAATAAGCTGCAACATTTTATGCATTTTTTGATGTAAAAAGATAATTTTGTTAATATTCTCCTAAAACATCAGTCTCAATCAGTAAAGCACAGACCTCTTACTTCAATCAATTAAAAAAAAAAATATATATATTGAGTGCCACAGTGACGCGTCCTAAAACCCGGAAGTAAGTTAGCATTTTACCACTTCTGGTTCCTTCGCTAAAAAGCATTGCAATTTCTCCATAGGATTTAGGAAAGTAGCTGGAAATCAGGTCTGTGGTTGAGACACATTGAAGAGACAGATCACGTTTTGTTTTACGACATTAAATACATCAGCAGTGACCCCACTGGTGATTTCTGAAGAGTTTACGTGTGTGAAAAACATAGACTGTATATATGGTGAAAAACGATGGTTGTTACCAAGTGGCTGAATAGCACTACAGAAGTTGTCGAGGACGTTGTACGTCATTACGCCAAACACGTAAACACTCCGCTAAGTTTGTTTGCCGTGTTCTGCTTGAAAGCAAGTCCCTGCCTCCTGCAAACTGTTCAAACAAACGCTTCAACTTGAACAATTTAGAATCTGTATTTTTGAATATGGATCTTAAGGTGGCGTGACGTTGAAGCAACGACCCTGCTGTAGTTCGTTTATAGCATAACGTTAGCATTTTGCTTCTGGCGATTAGATTTATGATTCGAAAATTATGAAAGTAGGATAGACATGTGGATATTATCCGGCTGAACCAAACGTGAACCGTCTCTTAAATGTGTTTCAACCACTGACCTTATTTCCAGCTATTTTCCTAAATCCTATGGAGAAATTGCATTGCGTTTTTGTCGAAGGAACCGGAAGGAGTTTACTTTTGGGTTTTAGGAGCCAGTTTTTTATTTTTTATGCAAAATGACATCTGGTCAAATGATTATGTTGTTATTACCTAGTGAGATTTGCCTCAAGGAATACGATAATTCCTCCCTCCGGAGTACCTCTGCTGCTATGATCATTTTAATGTTAACTCCAGTGTGCGTGAAATCGTCAATGCACACCATGCATAAGAATGATTACAACAATCGAAAATCATTAAATTGACTAAATTGTATTATTAAGCACTTCATGGCTCTTGAATAATGTGCTCATCATCTCAGACTATACATTTATGCTCAAGTGAGTCAGTGCACGGCTTCATTAGGTAAAAAAAGAGGTGTCATTTTCATAGAGCAAGAGGTAGATGGAAAAGGTGTTATGTCTCTTCAATCCAAGATTCAAGTAAAATACAGCCATGATGGGTAAAAATGGAACTGTAAATTAAAATTGGAAAGGTCTTGATGCTTAGCGACACATCTGGACTATTGACTTCTGAGCCCAGATGCTCTCCTCTCCTCTTCACCGAGCAGACTCATTAACTGGACTCCCACAGTCTCATCTTTCCCAGAGAAGATTTACAGTTTGATAGAGAGTCAGAGAAAAGAGAGCGTTGGACCACAAAAGGCTGTCAAAGTAGGGAGATGTACAAGGCTCTGCCATGTTCTGCTTCTTTCTTCATTTTAATTGCGCAATCCTGCAGGGCCTTGTGTTTTTTATGGACAGATCTAGGAACATCCCTGAGCAGTATTTCCCGTGATGCTCTAAGAAATCTTGTCTTTGGCTGTGTATCCATCTACTTGGGGGGGGGTTTAGCCACAAAGCAGCATGTATCGGTCCTCAGAGGGCATGTAGAACGATGGATGACTTTCCTAACGCCGAGCAATCCAGACTGTAGCAGCAATAAACGTTTATCTCCTGGCCTTTTGCCCAAGCTTAACTCTTCTGCCTTTTTTATTGTGCAGCGAGGAGCAGGGAAATGATCATGTTAATTTAAAATGATGGCATATCACAGACACAGATATTATCTACAGTGTCTTAGTCTCACGATATCTCTATTTTCCGTACCATTGACTCTGCTTTTTATGTTTTTGCCCATGCTAAATAATGGCTCTGTTTTTTACTGCTTGGTCACCTCCTAATTATTTAATTCATTTCCCAGAAACCACCTTTACAGCTTTAGCCCAGGGGTCAAAGCATTACAGGACAAGATTGAAAAACTCTTTTATCCATCATTAGCTAGACTCTGCCCGCCCCCTGGCATATTTCTACTTGGATAGTTAGAGGGATAAATCCTAAAGGTCCAGTCACACCATGATTTTTTTGAGGCAAAGTCTATTCATTGGAATAAATAATAAACAAATCCCATCTTTACAATGCTGTCCTTTAAAAGTGTCAAGCTATAGTAGCTAACTGACAAGCTCTGCAAGAAGTTGCTACGTCACTTAGCTCTGACACAACACTTTCCTTTAACTGCAATACCATTTGAATTGACTAATGTATTAAGTTCCAAAATTCCGCAAAACGAATATATACCTAGCACCGATCCAAACTCACATGGTAATACAAACACGGTTTCAATTTACTGCCCTGCTGAAAGTCTGTGGAGGAAATTTGAACAGTTTTATCCAAATGACCAAATCAGCAAGCAATCTATGTTCCCACTGTGAGCAATCAGTGTAAACGTGGTGCGATTTCACAGCTCTAAAATATGAAGCAACTTTCTGCTTGACGATGCACATGATAATTACACAATTTCACTGCATTTAGATTGTTTTCACACATTTGGAGCCAGAGGCAAGCAGATTGTTTTCAATTCAGCAAGTGATTCAGTCTATTCATTTCTTACTGACTCTGCCCTGTTGAGATTATTGAGGCACTTCCACAAAATAAACAGATGTTTATAATTGAAATCAAATCAAAAAAATGTTGTCTAGCTGATTAATGTACCTATTCCTGCCAGAAAGTAGTCCCACCAGTACTTACCACGTCTGCTCAGAGGCCCCGCTTGGCCAAAACAGGCGACACATGTGGCCAACAGTACCATTGCTTTTCGGGAAAGTCTTGATGGCACTGAACACTGGGTAGGGCACCATGATTATTAGCGACACCACCCACGTGGCAGCGATGACGCGGTAGGCGTGGGACCGGGTCTGCCACGAGCGAGACTTCAGCGGGTTACAGATGGCGCTGTATCTCTCGATGGCAATGGCCATAAGGCTAAAGGTGGAGATGCTAACTGAGATCCCTGCAGGAAAGAAAAGACAACAAGAAAAACGATTAGAGAATTGTTCTGGTAGTCTATTCAGGACTTCTAAATCGGCAGCCATGAGGCGTGGCCGTGTCTAAAGATAATGAAATCTGCCACGTTACACATTGTGCACATAGTGCATCCGAACATCTCAAGTCAACCTTGCAAAAATATTTGATTAGCTGTGAAAGCATTTGCACAGTAACACATATTAACAGATACAGTAAAGCCTCATTGACGACAGCTCAAATAGAGTATCCACATTGACTTTCAAAGACAATGAACACACCCTTACCATATAAGAAATGTTTGTCAAATACCGCAAATAACACCGCCATGTCAATCAGGCTTAAACTATTCAACACAGTTCAAGGCATTTGGAATATGAAATCTATTTCCCACAATAGGGTTAGCACCTTTGTAATTAATTATCCAAGGACACTGCTCCATAGGGTTCAGTGCAAGTTAAACTCCTTCAGAGACAAGGCCAATTTTTATTTGCATGTATGAATATGCATAATCTGCAGAAGGGGAAAGCAAGCCTTTCGTCTGAGGGTGAGGACAAATAGCAAATAGCATTTATAAACCCATACCTGCAGCAGCCCCCGGGAATACATCAGCACACTTATTCTCCGTCGCCATGAAAAGCAAACACATATTAATCCCCAGCCCTTGTTCTTTTACAATGGAAAGAAGATGTCCTTCACAAACCATACCTTTGCGTTACCATTCAAGGAAGGAAGTCATTATGCATACTCCTATGTTCATGCTGCGACTCAATCTACAGCAGCCATATTAACTATTTGAGTGGTCTATGACTATACAGAACAATGCATTCCCTGGATCAGCCTTTGGCGGCGGTCTTTCCTGCAAACCAATCCTTTTCCATTATGATAAGCGTTGTTATCCGAAGCTAAAAGAGTAAGGATATATTGTCGACTGCAAAATGTGTAACTACGAAAAGAAAGGGAAATGTGAGAATTTGATGTAGAGTCAGATATAGAACGGCTTCATCATATTCATGCTCCTACAGAACAAAGGAGCTGACTACTAGGGATACTCCAGAACAAAGAGAACGTCATCATCGCGAAAAGACGTCTGAATGCCTTTTATGCTCCGTGAGCAAACCCAAACTGAGACAGAGACTCTGCTGTGAATTATTAAAAGCATTTCAGCTCTTTGTGAGAAGGCACTTTTTTTGGATTGCTGCTCCACTTACATGAAACCTGACAGGATACTGCATCGAACCAAATTCACTGGCTTTAAACTTGGGGTTTTCAAATTGTGAATCCTAACATCCAGAGAGCGATGTGAGGCACTGATGATCTATGAGGTGAAGACGACTAAAGTTATATGATATAGCACGTTTACCAACACTTTTCAGTTGATTTCAGTTTGCCTCAGAAAAAGTACCGCCTGAATGCTTACCTAATTGAAATCTCAGCATGGTCATTTTAAATTGTAACATAACAATCTCCAAAGCTATGTCTATCTCTGATGTGGTGAATCACAGATAATGAGAATGCCAATGATTATCGATAAATCCACTCATAGAACAAACTCCTTATAACTCCTGAACTTGGCTAAGAATCATTACTTTTGTATTTTCTTTTAGTATTAAAGTAATTCAGTGATAATTGTCAGCACCGGTAACAACTAATGGTCAATTTAATGGCTTAACCCCTCTTAAGCCCCACGGACCCGGTTCCGGGGCCGAAATCGCGTCATTTGCAGGAAACAACGTCTAAGGAACCTTAATATTTAATAAACTATGAATATGTTATATCCATATAACGGGGAAAAACTAATTTAACTGATCTTTTTCATTTAAAAAAAACAAAAAACACACAATGCTAACAGTGAGCCTCTGAATTAGCCCCGAGCGAAAAATGCTACCCTATTACTGCACCGAAAATCACTCCTAGCTCCCTTATTACTTATCCTAGCTGCACATCCAACACATCGTTTATGATCGTAAAGACACAGAATCTAACGGTGCCCACCTAAACACTGAAAGATACAAACTCGCGACGTTATCAACAAAAACGTACATCAAAAACATGTGGCGCTAGGTAGCCTACAACGCTAACATGGCTTACCTTGGTTTTGTCAGGGGGCTGCCAACATTTGAGTTCAGCTTGGAGTGAGATTTTTTTTGGTGAACCGAAAAAAGAAACGTTCATGTGTACAGTGTTACAAATGTATTGAACATGTACAAACTAGGGTTTCCCATGAATGTACCGGGCGCTACAATGGAATACGCACATACACAGTGTACCCGCGACTCTTACAATGAAGGCTCGATAATCAGCTCACAGCATATCAAATGGCATATAGGTGTAAGCAGAGGTAAAGTGCTATTTTACAAGTGGGTTAAATGCATCAACCTGGTGCATCAACCTGGTGCACTTTGAGAGCAAAATGAATTTATGGTAAACAGATTTTCTTTTTCTTTATGGATATTTTACAAATCACTCACCTTTTAAACTGTATTCTTGTTTTACTGTCATATAGTATTTCATAACTGTTTTTCATTTATTCTCATAAATGGTGACCAAAACGTTTGAGACCCACTGAGATAACTAGACTAAAGTTAACTATCTAAACAGAGTCCCTTACATCACTGAGCTGTAGTTATCTCTCAGTCTGACAGGACAGAGCTCTCCTTTTCCTTGTTTTAGAAACAGCTTTTAATATCCGTTAAGCTAACCAGATGCTAACAACAACAATGCAAATAGTGAGTTTGGTAGAAATATACTGTATAATAGTAAAGTTATTTAAGATGATGCCATATTTATTGAAGATTTTACATTATAAATATTCCCCAAAATTATTCAAAAGTATATTCTTCCAAACTCTCTGCTGTAGTATGACCACCAGGAGACTATTGATGTGTGTGGTGAGTTTGGTGGTAATAAGCTGTATAATAGGGATTGAATAGTATTGTATTCTCTTTTTTCGGAGTTGCACTTTGCAGACGGTCCCTGAGCACTCGTTTCTTCTCCGGCTGCAGATAGAGACCAATGTAATGTGTCCAGCTCGGAGGACGGCGCGTATTGGCTTTTTTTGATCAAAATGTGACTGTAGTTCGTTGTCAACCTTACCACGGTACTTAGGAGACGTCATTTGTGTCTGAATAATGTTTTGTTCATGAGTTATTGATCCGTGAAATCAGAATCTCCCAATATCGTTCCAACTTTACTGAACTAAGCCAGAAGACCGTCTCATTTCGTAGACCGCTCGGTTTGCTGTTCCTTCACTTTATTTTTATATTTATATACATTTATTTTGGACGAAAACTTAGCGTGAGGAAAGGCAAGTGTGGCGTGAGTGCGTGAGATATGGGTTAATTGCGTGACTCTCACGCTCAATGCGTGAGTGTTGGCAGCCCTGGTTTTGTCTGGTCAAAACTGGTCTTCAATGGCATTAAAATGATAACAACGATGCTGTAGTTAATCCATAGGTTAATATCCAATGTGTCTGTGTCCCCTTTGAAATGTTCTGATGATCTATAAGCAATAACACTGCAATTCCGTTTTAAAATATCAGAGCAGGCCATTCCTACGCTCCTTAGCAAGATTGAATGCGTAAAGATGGAACCTTTTTTTTAAACATGAGTGTGTGCGGGACGATTTCCCTTTGATTCTATTGGCTCTAACGGTCAGAAAGAGTCACATGTCAAAATCGAAGAAGGGGGGCCAGAGATAAGGAAAATCCACCCAAATGGCCCCAGAATGCCATTGTCTAAAAAGGTCAAATATCACTTGTTTTGCATCAATCTTGATACAGGGTACTTATTATATGTTGTACTTTGGATTCCTAAAGCTTTTAGTCTACTAACCCATCATCCAAGGTTAGTTTTCACTATAAGTACAATATATTTTTTGGACGGACACTATAATTTACAGTTTTTTACCATGTTCAATCTGAAGTTTCTTTAAAATAAAAAACATCTATATTGAATCTGACTTTTCTACATCCAACTCACAGGTTTATCATTACTTTGAGAAAAAAGATTATTAAATTAACCCTTTTAGAAGGGAAGATATGGTCATTTGTTCTGGGAATGTCATTTGCAAGCCTGAAACCTGAAAAACAGGCTTGGGGCTTACATTAAAAGGCAGAATGGGTTGTTAAAATGCTCCATACTGGAACACGTTTTTTCTATTTTGGTCAAAGAGCCTTCACTGTCTACGCAGCAGTAAAGCCTTCCAGAATTTTCCATGACACAATCCTGTCCGATACCAATCAACTAAAATAGCCAGCTCCAGCTCGGACTGAGCAGAAGGAGGTGGGTGGCACAGTCAACAGATGCGGATCTCAACAGTGCACCGGCACTGTATGAGTCCTGCACAATAAGTCTCGCACACCCACACGTCTCTTTCAAGTGCTGAGCACAGGCACAGACACAGAGAAAGACCAAATCACACACTGGGGGTTTTCTTTTGTTGATGCTTGAAGGCGGTCATGCCCAGCCGCAGCGCCGGCTTACACAGATTGTGAAAATGCCGAACGCAGAAAGGTACGAATGGTTTGTCTTTTCCTCAAAGGAACGATAACAATAATGAGTAGAAGATGAAAGACAAAAAGCATTATTTATACAGCACTTTTGTAAAGTGCTTTACAAAGCAAACAGACTGCAGGATTAAAAGACAGGGAATTATACAGAGAGCATTACAAACAATTGTAGGTAAATGTATTATTAAAGAAACACTTTTAAAGGCCTTGCATAGAAGAAGTTGTAAAGGAATTGTTTAATGAATGTGAAAAAGCTTGTTCACTTCTTTCAGAGGGTTGGACAAGAAGATCACTAGTAGTTTATGTGTGTCAGGTAAATATGAAGCTACAGCCACAAGACTATTTAGCTTAGCATAAAGACTGGTAACAGGCGAAACGGATAGTATATCTAAATGACTCTACTAAATGGCAACCACACCAAACATTAGCCGCCTTTAGCTTAGTGGTGGTGACGCAAAGCCAAACAACCGTGATGTAGTTTGTTTATAGCCTTACGTTAGCATTTTACTTATGGCAATTGCATTTATGCTTCAATAATATGTAAAGATTATCCTGCAGAACAGAACATGGAAGTGCCAAATCCCAAGTCAGCCTACAAAAATATATGTACTATCCCTGCAGAACTCTTAATGGAAAACCTATCAACGTCACTGAAACTAGCTAGTGTAAAACTTCTACCCTAGTTTTGTTGCATTCTGTTATTTTTAAAAGACAATTTTGAACAGGCATATCAAAGTCATTATTTTTTAGCAGAACACACATTAAAATGCAATTTTTCAATGCAGGATACATGAAAAAGAGGCGATAGATTAGCCCAGAGAGCCCTATTAGACGTCGCATCCTGTGTGAAACAAAAAAGCCACGTCTCCAAATGAGCGATGTTTTCAATCCCTACTAGACTTATAAAGACTGATCGCTCGGAGGTTGTGCACTTTCATACTGATACCGCAGTGATTTGAATTGATGACACAGTAAAAGGTACGCAGACAGCTCTAAGACGAGTGTGCATCTAGTCTGAGGGATTATGTTCCTGTCCAGGAGCATTATAGGACCTGCATTCATCAAACCTCTCAGCACCTCAGTCCTGGTTCACATGACAATTTGTTTTATTACTGGAAGGGGAAGTCAACACTGATAAGAGATCAGCGGCAGTGATAAAGCAATTTGTTTTGTTTGGCCTCTGAAGAAGAGTTATGGACATCTTTAACACATTTTAAATGGACCGCAGCAACTGTAGAATGTATCAATACTCTATAGGAGGCAGTCAGCTCTTCAATAACACTGCTCATGTTGAACAGAAAGGACCCATTATACGCATGTCTCTATTTTTGTTGTTATTGTTGCAGAAAGTATGTTCTAGTTGAGTTTTCTGACAGCCGTGCCGATCAAAGCTTCACCCCCTTGGAACCTGGCAGTATTGAGAGGCTAATCTTAGAGGGGAGGATATTCTGCTGTGATTATGAACAAGTTGGAGCCAAGTTAACTACCAGCCAACTAACCGACTAAATGCTCACATTTTGCCCCTGCGCTGTATCTTCTCTCCTCGGGAGGAAGCAGCTCTAATCCTTTTTCTTGTTCATTAAGTCGGGCGAACACTCCACACTTCTTGATAACTGGCTTTTGAGTGAAGCCTGGAGTCGAGGGTCTTTCCGCTCACCTCAACCCAGGGGGAAAGATTTACATTCCTCAGCTGAAACTGCGCCTGTTATTTCTCAGCTTTCACCAAACTCTCCCAGGTTTCCATAAAAAGGCAGAAACAACTCTACAAGTGGAATTAATGTGCTATAGGTGCCAGACGCGCTTGCAGACAGTACTGAAAAAGTTTGCTATAAGCCACGGAAATTAAAATACATTATTCATACTGCACCTCTGGGGGAGCTGACACACTAGTAAGTTAGTGATTGCATCATACGATCAGCAAGAAAAACACAAACATGGATGTTTTCGAAGGCCGCACACATACACAACTGCACGCGGAATATTACAACATCGATCTGGTAACTGCCAGCGAAACAGTAAGCGGGCTATTATTCACATGATTATCGAGCGAGGGACAGATAGATGGATGCATAGATGGACAGTGGAAGGAAGGATGGCGTATTATATGTCCAAAGGGTGTGTGCTAACGGATGAGTTTGCAAAGGATAGATGAGTTTGCCGAACAGGTTGAATGAGTGAGGACGGTCAAGATGATCCTGTGTATTGATTGGCTGATGGAAGGCCTTGCTCATGAGATGCTCAGATCACAGGGAGCTTTGATTGATACGGATTTTACAAGCTAGGCTGATATTTGTAGAATTTAAATGAACAATTTTCACATCAAGAATTACGATGATTCTGGGTTCACTGCAAAGGCAGAATCAGACATGCTGTCCTTCTGGGGCTGAATTACTTATTGGTGAAGCCATGGTCTAGAGCAGGGGTGTCCAAACTACGGCCCGCAGACCATTTTGAATCGGCCCTCAGCTAATTCAAAAAGTATAATGAAACATGGCCCACAAATTAAACTTCTGCTTGCCTTATATTGTACTTCTTAAATATATATGTTCAAATATATTACACAGTATTCATGTGTTAAATCGCCCAATTTTCAAATAAATTCAGTCAATTAAAGTTGGAAACATTTTCTAACAAATCTAAGCTGATAAGAAAAAAGCCCCAATAACTTATTTCCATAACAACCTGGAAATATAACCTTCCTATTTCCTCTTATGATAAGCAATCTGAGGCTTCTGTTTTAAGGAATGAGCTTCTAACACAATAACTGAAACCCTCTGGAGAGCTGTGAACAGGGTTGGGAGGGTTACTTTGTAAATGTAATCAGTTACTGATTACCAGTGTTGTGCTAGTTACTGAAAACCAGTAACTAGTTACCATTACTAGTTACTTCATGTCAAAAGTAACGCAGTTACTTTACTAGTTACTTACACCCAAAAGTAATGCGTTACTGTTGAAAGTAACGTTTATGTTCCTTGAAAAATATTTCTCCCATTACTGCCCTTATAGCCTTCATTTCAGTACTGTTATTGCATTGGAGAATAATACAATCTGTTGATCAACTTGACATGCATTATATGCAATCTGGATTGCATCGATATTAGCTGGCTTTCCATTTTTGTATATTCTTTCTCCAGGTAGTTGGAAAAAGTTTTCCGTCCCATATGCCGTGTGCCGCCCGGACATGCTATCATGCTAACTAGCTCCCTGAAAGCGGGTGACTCCACTGTAGCAATAGCCTGCATGTGTTCTACAACATACCGTGCAATGGCTTTATCCACTTTTCCCTGGCTAGCAGTCCCTTGGTTAAAATCCAGCCGCTGTTGCTTAGGTGGAGGTGGAGTGGCGTCGGCTGAGTCTCTGTGGTCTTAGCTACTAGCTTCGTCCCAGCATGTTGTTTTTGCAGATGTTTTAAGAGATTTGAATGACTAGTTTGGGCAGTAGATAGGACCTTTGACCCGCCAAGACACAACTTACATTTAACTAAAACGTTCTTTTCTTTGTGCTCGACAAAAGTGAAATAGTGAGAATATCTCCAGGTGGAGAAACTAGACTTGAGCTCCGCCGCCGCCATGATAGTCTTGTTAGTAAACAACACAAACACGCCCACAGCCCGTCTCCGCATGTGACACAGGAAGTATCTAAGTACATTTACTCAGAGCCCTAGAGAGATAAGAGTTACAACACTCCCATAGACCTCCGTTGTAAAAAATGGCGGCGCCTACTTCCGGGGTATGGACATCGAAATAGTTCAAAATATTGTCATTTGGGCGTTGGACCTCATTCACTTACATTACGGCGCGTCGATTAGTTCCAGAGGTAAGTGGCTGAAATATCGAACTCTTTTGAATTGTCAACTGTCTATATTGTATCAGAGGCCCTTTATGATGCTTATACTGGTCTTCATTTGTATATGCACAGCGTAATTATCTATATTTTATCTTGGTTGTTACAACCAATTTAGCTAGCATTGCCTGCTAGTTAGCTAGCGCGACTTCGTCAGCTTTGAAGGTAAGATTTCAGTAATGAATCGCTAGCAGCTTATATATCAATGATGCTGGGTAACTAACAAGCAGGATTTAGATTGATTATGTGTTTTTATTGTTATTTTGGTTTTTATCCGCTGAACCTGATCGTGTCAGCCATCCTTAGTCGGCTTTTTCTGTATGATATGACTTGACTGCTAGCACTAGTAGAAATGAGGTGGCGTTTGTGATAAATATTTCATTTCATATTTCATTGAATTTTGGGATATACTAACATTTCATTATGTGACATGTTGACTGTACTTTGTTTTTTTTGGTACTGTTCCGTGTTAACTCATCTGTACTGTACAACTAGCCTAGCGCTACTCATGCTTGATGGCATGCTAGGATAGATTCCTTTGTATTGTAATATACACACTAGTTTAATGATTGTTCTTCAAAGGTATTATTCAGTCTTAAACAAATAATAGCCTACTGAATAGGCTACTCTACAGCAGTGAATGAAGGATGAGCCTAAAACATGGTCATGCATCCAAAATGTTTATTTTTAACAAAATAAACACTTTAAAAAAAATAATTAGCACTTTTTTTTTTCACCCACAGTGACAACGCGCAGAGCATATTGGAACTCTCCAGGTGTTGGGACAGAGTTCCTCAGACGAATGGACGAAAATGTGTTTTCCAGGCAGTCTTGAGTGAAGCGGCTTGTGAGAACAAATTTGTGCCCTTGTCTCAACAGGTCATGCTGGACCTCCAGGATTGTTGTTGTGGCCATCACCAGTCCTGTCTGGACTGGTTTCCAGCTGCCCTTGGGACCGATCTTCAGGCCCCGAAACAGATGGATGGAGTCCCGGAGGAAGCTGATGGCCTTATCATACTCCTCCATCTTGAAATGACTTAGGGCAGTAACAGTGTTGCGTGACGACATGAGGTCAAACTTTTTGGTGTCCAATGTTCAGTCACTGTATTGGTAAGCAACCATTTGTTTTGGTCAAAATGTGTTATTCACACTCCTGACTCCAGTTTGATGTGCTGCATTCTCCGCTGAGAGGTCATGGCTTGGAAGGTTTTATATTCTGTAGTGTCTCAACAGAACCTAATATGAATTGCTTTATTGTCTCGTCGCTGGATCACCTCCCCCTGGCAAAGTGGCCTCGTTATTGTTGACAAACCTGTTTTTGTTGCTGGTTCAACAGGAGCTTCTGTAAATAGTTTTGTAAATAGTTTGAATATTTATCATAGTAATCATTTTTAGTCTCCCACTCTCTCAATTTAATTTATCGTTTCTTTGCCCCACCATATGTTTTGTTGTCCAAGGGCACTAATTTGGTCTGTGTTGAAGATTGTTTTACACTTTAGATTAATCAAAATTGTGTTTTTTGGCTGAATTAATCTTTTTCTGTTGAACCCTAACCCTCTTTGTTCTCCTTCTCATTCATTTTACTTTGTTTTGTTCTAACACACATCCCACATCACATCACTTTTTCCATACACTGTTCTTAATACTTGTTCACACATTTGTTCGTCCCTTTTACTTTGTTCTTCCTGTTGTTCTTGTTCAAACACATATATCAATTGTTCATCCACTGTTGTGGTAAAATGATATTCATAGTCTTAACATGATCATGCTAACATGAACACAAACGTTTCCCTCCAAAAATGTAAAAGTATCTAAGTACAGGCATGAAAACGGGTCAGGGGTGAAAAAGGTGAGAAGGATATTATCCCTCTAGGGGGGTCCGGGGGCATGCTCCCCCAGAAGAACATTTTGAATATTCCATATTTTAAAGCATCAATCTGATGCATTTTGAGATGCATTTTTTTGCCAACCTGGGGAGAGCTGGAGAAACTTAACTTCAGCCATGAGTCAAAAATATTATTACATTACATTACATGTTACTTGTTAGACGCTTTTATCCAAAGCGACTTACATACTCAATACTGTGGACAATCCCCACAGGAGAAATTTGGGGTGAAGTGTCTTGCCCTATTATGGCCTCCTTACTAAGTATTATCAGGGATGCAAACTCATCAGGTATGGAAAAGGTGACAAGGACCCGAGCCCCCCGACCCCACGGAATATCGGCTTTAAAATGAGGAATAACAGAGGATTTTAGCAGTCAAAACAACTAAAGCAGCAGTGTTAATAATAACAGAAACGCTAAAGAGTCACATCTAATCGAAATATATAAAAGCATTTATTTTAATTGTGTAGCAGTCAGTTTATAATTTTGGCAGCACTCTTGAGCATTTTGAAAATCTATTGTCATGCCTCTGTGCAAGGCTTAGTCTTTCTATCTTTATGGCATCTGGTGTAAAGTAACTAAATTCATAAACTCAAGTACTATAGCCTACTTGGGTACAATTTTGATATACTTGTACTTTATTTAAGTATTTCAATGTTTTGCTACTTTGTTCTTCTTCTCCTCTACAGTTCAGAGGTAAATGGTGTACTTTTACTCCACTACATTTATGTAATACCTTTAGTTACTTTGCAGATGTGGATGAATGATGTGAAATCTAATCAAGTGTTGAATCAGACTTTAGTTAAAACTGTCAATAAAAAGTATGCAATAATGCAATTACAGCTGAAAAAGTACTTGGGTGTGTGTTTTTTTTATATATATATATTTACCATTCAATAACGCAATCGCTGCTGTCTGTCTGTCCCATAGAAGAACATGACAGCGCAGCGCAACTATACTACGGACGTGACTGCCCTGGCAGTGACAGCAACATAGCCTGCTTGTGCTACCACACTTTCCCCTCAAAATATCGTTAAATAACGAAATTTCTAAATAGTGCCAATCCATACAAAGTGTAACCACATCATGTAAATATGAAAGCAATCTTTAAAAAATAACAGCGTTGGTTTAATCTATGACTATTTTGACCATGTTTGTGCTGTTTTTGCCATAGAGAAGCATTGCAACGGAAGTGCGTTTTGAACTATCCCGGCATACATAAACCACGTGACCGGCTGGCGGCGACATCAAAGAGTGTCGTAACTCTTATCTCTCTAGGGCTCTGCATTTACTCAAGTACTTAAGTACAGTTCTCATCTCTGTTCGCCTGGCTGTTGACTATAAAAAAACTAACGGAGTAACGCACCATGTAGTAACGGTAACTGAGTTACTGAATATAAAAAGTAATGCGTTACAGTAACGCATTACTTTTTACGTGTTAGTCCCAACACTGCTGATTACTGATTACATGGCTCTGAAAGTAATCCGAATACAGTTACGTGTAAAAAAAGTAACGTAATCAGATTACTTTTAGATTACTTTTGGATTACTTTCTTTTTCCATCACAGATGGGTATGTTTTGGTGAACAGGAGACACAAAAAGCAAAAGGAAACTGAACGTGTTTTTACTGTTTTAATGGCTTATCAAGAGCACAACTGAAACATCACATCTGAAACGATGCAACAACATAATACACTTTTTGGGGATGCAGCTTGGGATGTGAGGAGTGAGGGACACGGCTTAGAACGGGCGTGTCGTCTTCTGTCCTACCAGTGTTGGCAGGACATGAATTAAAATGTCGAACTCGGACTTAATTTTAAGGACATGTCGGCCAGGGGTGTAGAGCTATATTTGTTTAAGCACCGGATTGGCAAAACAGGAGAGTGTGTGCACCAGTCTGCCTTGATCTATGTATTCATGTCTGTGACACTCACAATACCTGCTGCCCACAGCTGCTTTATAGAAGGAAAACCTCCTTCACTTCATGAAATCTCTGCAGCACCAGGAGGCAGCGGGAGGGTTAACTCCGCCTCGGAGAAGAGGAGCGCGCCGCGCAGTGCCTTTCACGCACCGCCTTTCACGCACCGCCTTCACTGTGTATACCTTCAGAAATAATCATTAGTAAGGCTAAAGAGCGACCGCAGGCTGATGTGTTTTAACCACACACACCTATATATATATACACACGCACGCGATTTAAACGCAGACTTTTGTTCCTCCATGTTTCGTTGTTATTGTTTCACTGAGCGAGTGGACCCGCGATTTTTTTCCAGCCGCTTTTTTGGTCCATCTGCGGCGGTAATAGGTTTTGTGGGCTTTGATGATTCGGCTGTACCTTTAGTAATGCATATTAAATGTTGAGGAAATCTTTCCACCAATAATTCCAATAAGTAATCCAAAATGTATTCACCTCAGGTTTACGAAAGTAACTGTAATCAGATTACTCGTTTTTCAAATGTAACGCGAGCTGAATACAGTTACTTGATTTTTGTATTCTGATTACGTAACGCCGTTACATGTATTCCGTTTTTTTCCGTTTATTGTGGCCAGCCTAAGGCACACCTGTGCAATAATCATGCTGTCTAATCAGCATCTTGATATGCCACACCTGTGAGGTGGGATAGATTATCTCGCAAAGGAGAAGTGCTCACTATCACAGATTTTTTCAGATTTGTGAACAATATTTGAGAGAAATGGTTATTTTGTGTATATAGAAAATGTTTTAGATCTTTGAGTTCATCTCATGAAAAAAAAAAAAAAATAAATTTATATTTTTGTTCAGTGTAGAATAATTTACCTACATCGGATTGAATTCTCCAATTTATAACTTAATTTATGAGGCAATATAACTGACCTCTAGTGAGTGGCCCAGCCCTTCTTATGTTTTTCTGTATGTTTGGACAGCCCTGGTCTAGAGACAAATGTGCTTGGACTACAATTGCCTCTTTTTCATGCCTATGCCTGTGACAGCCATGGCCAGAGGCATTGTGTTTTCAGGGACCATCTGCTGCACACCATATCTCAAGAACGCCTTGAGGGTGTTTCTTCAAGTTTGGCACAAATGTCATGGATGAACTGATTAGAATTTGTAGTTGGAAGTGTTTGCCCATAACGCAATAATTAATTAATTGTTGTTAATAATGTCCACAAGGTTTTAATGATGTTATTTTGGACTAGCATTGAACTGCAACTTGACTGACAATTTATTTTTGCCATTTTCCATATATTTCACAGGGTGAAGTCCAGTCCTGACATGCAACAAAGATCCCATCCTAAGGCCAGCATTGTTGAAGGTAGGTCATGCTTGGTAACTAATCCCAAGGCCCACCAAACACTACTGTTTAAAGGTCATACATAACAAGATTCAGAACGTTGTAAGAGAATTGTTAGAGAATGAAAACTATGGGCAGAAAACACGAAGCAACACCCAGAGAGACTGTAGTATTTGTGAAAATTCCTGCTTATACCAGCTGAACTAAGCTCTTTTTTAAAGGCTGGTCTCCTTCTTCCAGCTGCTGACCGGCTCTTGGTCTAACTGACAGTCGGAAAGCTCACTAGTACTAGTTTTCCCCCTTCAACTCTGAATAGACTCAAATGCAAATAGTACACATAGCTTACTGTACAAGCTTTAAGAACCAGATCATTTGCAATTATTTTCTTTAAATTGCACCTATCATGCTATTTTTAGGCAATAGCATAGGTCTCAGATATATACAAATATATAAAAAACATTTCTGTGAATTGTTTTGATCAAAATACCAAACAGATCACCCATTCTAGCCATGCCTCATATCCCTCTATTTCACTTCCTGTTTCAAAAGTGCTGATTTGGGGTATACAGCTTTTAAAAATAAATAAAAATTGATAAAAATAAAAAAGGAGGGGGCTGAGCTCATGCGGGACCCGGCAGCTACTGTCTAAACTAAATACTGACGTGATGAAACGCCATATCATGGATTATCAAGGATTCTTTCTGAAACAGTTTGGAGCTCAAAGGCTTTCTCTCTTGCCGGTTATACCACAAGGTGAGTTCCTTTTTACTTCCTGCTTCTTCACACACATGCTCTCCAGTACAGGTTAGCTCTGAGTGTTAGCGATGCTAATGTAAACACCGACCATATTACGTCCAAAACAGTCAGCATTGTTTTTGATAGCAGTTTCTGATTGGTCCGTGGGCGTAAAGGCAGCCTACATTTCAGATTTTACGTCATATCGGACGCAAATCTGGATCAGCTCCGTTGTACCCCCGTTTTTAGAGATTTGGGTACGGAGGGAAAGAGAGAGGGTTTTATTTTCTGACGCTGCGTGAGTTCCCCGACACACCGGGGACACATATTTATGTATAAAAGACATAGAAAAGTGCATTTTGCATGATAGGTCCCCTTTAACATTTATTCTTTCGGGGGCTATGGCTGCTAATGGGTCTCCCCATCATTTTATCCTTGTTGAATGAACCTCAAATACAGCTCTTTCATCAACTTTTAATTCAAACCTAGACTAATGAAAGTCTTAAACATTGCAGATAACATTGTGTTGTTGCTGTTCTGAGGTAGCTGCTAAAGCCCCTGTCACACTGTCCCGAAATTGACACCCGATGGACACACGAATATGGAATTGTGAATTTCGCACGAAGATGGCCCCGAACCACACACGAAGGCAACATTTACATTACATTTAAGACATACAACTGCAATGAAAGTACCAAAAACAATTATGTTACAGTACTATGATACTGTACTGATATATTCAGACTTTGTTCTTTACTTTATCCGTCTTTATATGTAGAAAATATTACGTTTTCTCCGTAATGTTGTTTCCATAACAACAACAACTTCCTGTCAACTGTCCTTCAAAATATAATATTATATCCTTTTTAGTTTCACAGAACACAAATTGGGTTATTTACATAATATGTTTACATGATTTTGTTGTGCAATAAAACAACACGATAAAGGAAATGTTCAAATTCGGCTGTGATCGTAGCAACATCGGGCCATTCGTGGGGGCATCTTAAGCCATCGTATGACCGCCGGTGGAGTTTCTCAGGCTCCGGCAGCAACTTTGTGAGCAGTGGCAAAATCTTTGGCATGCCAACAAATTGCCGAAGGACCTTGCGAAGGTTCATTTTCGTGTTGAATTCGTGTGTCAATTGTGCCCTTCGTAAGGCCATCGTGAGGGCATCTTGTTATCATCGGGGCCATTGGGCATTCGCCCCGATCAGAGTGAAGGCGAATGCCCGATGGCACCTATGATAATACGAAGATGACACGATTTGACAAGATGTCCTCACGAGTGCCTTATGAAGTTGCCGCTCACGAAGTTGCTGCCGGAGCCTGAGAAACTCCACTGGCGGTCATACGATGGCTTAGATGCCCTCACGAATGGCCTGATGTTGCTATGATCACAGCCGAATTTGAACATTTCCTTTATCGTGTGTCCATCGGGTGTCAATTTCGGGACAGTGTGACAGGGGCTTAAAGGAAGTATCACATATGCAGTGGAGGATATCCAAGTCATTATTCACAGTTTAATAAAATGCCAGTGTTCATATGGTGAAGTGATTCATTGTCTAAAAATCATTACTTATCAGTTTAGCACTTAACTTGAATATATTACAAGTTTACATGAAAAGTGTTGGACAAAGCGGACAAATAACTAAAGGTTTGTGTTTTAAAGTCTGAGGATGTTGCCCCCTCCTCCTCCTCGTTCTTATCACAGCTCAGAGAACCCAGTAATTGAAAAGAAGCCTTTCTTCACAGATGGTGCATCGCATTTCCTGGACAATAATAGGATTGCGGACCTCCCCGTTCAATAGCTCTGATCAACCATACCAAGCTCAAAGTGAGGCCGGGAAAGTTCCTTTGCCGTGTCTTGCCGGTGTGACTCAGGCCTCACGTGGCACCTTCACTCCGGCCTGATGGGAGCCAGCTCATCGCTCAGTCACACTCCTGAAGACGTGTGACTGCTCGAGCTCTTTGAGCATGATGGTTACCTTCTGACAGGCAAAATGAAGCCCCTAGAAAAGCTCTTGTAAGATATCGAGCAATTTTCCGGCAGGATTCTAAAGCCGGAGCAGTTTCTGATCGGTTGACAGCCACATATTTCTGTTCTGGGATAATAAGCTTTTTAACCCTGATCATTCTTTAACATAACAAATGGATTCATTTAATCTTGCCTTTCCCGAACAGCTCTGTTCAGTGTGATTTGGAAAATAATAGACCAATTTCCTGCGACTCAACTAGCATTTCATTTAAGAATTGACTGTGACAAATAACAGCCAGCCTGAATCCCCCTAGCAACAAACTCTTGGCAGGGAAGTGAATTTTTCTCACCCATAAAGTAGGTGACGGTCTTGCACATGGCCGCTCCGAAGATGAAGTCCTCCAGGATGTTGGGGATGAGGGTGAAGGGCATGCAGAAGACGGCCATCATGAGGTCGCTGAGCGCCAGCGACAGCAGGAAGGAGTTGGTGACGGTCCGCATGCGCTTGTTCAGCACCAGGACCACGATGATCAGCAGGTTCCCGAAGACGCTGACCAGGAAGATGAGCGAGTAGAGCAGGATGCGGAAAGAGTCCATTTCTGAAAAAGGAAGATTGGAAGATTGATTAGAATCTTAGAAACAAAGGAAGCACATTTGTCGAAGTGAGGTACACAGCTTCTGATCAATGAGAAACACAGATTGAATTCTGCCAGACAATATTTATTTATTTCATCAAAACATCTCTGTGCCATTTTCTCTGGGTTTCAAGAGTCACCACTAAATATTTAATGTAACTGGGAACAGAAATAAATAAAAGAAGAAGAACAAATAGGAGGCAGAAGAGAGAGATACTTGCTGACAAAAGACTTCCAACAAATTCACAAGAGACTGAACATAATCAAATCCAAAACGTTTTCTTCATCTGTATGCAGGTGTCAGTGCTCTTTCTTGTAATCATTCAAGAAACCCACAAGATAGCGACACCTCGATTAATAAAATAAGACATCAATATACGAAGAGAACATGCTCAGGTTTTTCACCTGGGAAATTACACTCCGGGCGCTAGTGTCGTACCAGACAAAATAAACGTTGCATAATCAACAAATTGTGCTGGTGACAATACTTTCCTGCTCCGGCTGTGAGCCAAATTATAATTAGCAGCATAATAATCAGAACAATATGAAGACAAACAACATCATGATCAGGTGGTGTCCTGGGAAACGAGCTCAACATGGAAAACAAATATGATAATTAAAAATATTTAAACATCTTTCCTTTTCCTAGTGTCATAGCAATAACCCAACATGAACAATTACTCTGTTGGACATGTAAGCAAAACTACAAATTTAAATATTATACACATTTCAGGTTCATATTCGTATTTTGTGCTTCTACTGTCACGTACATGCTTTCATGTTCAGAAAGTGCGTTTAGAGACCATTTACATGCACAAAAACCTTTTTAACACACTACAGGAAAGGAAAACCCCCCCAAAAAGCATCATAGCCTCTTCTGATAAAAAACAAATATAGTTTTTTCACATGGCTCCCTTGTTTTTGCCACACAGTTGAGCATCAGTGAGAGCATAATGCCAGCCGGAGGGTTTTTGGGATGCTCCCTTCCCTCACAGCGGCTTGTCACTGCGAGTCTGTATGTGAATGAGAGTATCTAACATGCAGGACATGGTCAGATCCATGATGTAAGACAGGGACAGTGTCTGTCCTCAGCACAGCCTGCAGAAAATACACACTCTCCCTGCAACTCATAAACACACTGGCCTATTTACAGACATGATTCCTGAGCATTGGTCCTTATGAATAAAATAGCAGATGTTTTTAAACACCTTTGAGGGAAACCGTCAGTCTCCAATACATATCTAACGGATAAGGAATAAGACGTTATTGCAAGTTTCGTTTATCTACAATCTGCAGAGGAAACGACAAAGATAAAAGCAGGTGAGGGATTTAAACCTAGGACAAGAGCAGGGATGCATGTTAATCACCTCTGCCGTCAGAGACACCCAGTCCCCCTCAACTGCAAGTATGAATTATTCTTTTGATGAGAGAATCCTCTGGTGGCTCTGGGACCAGTTCCATCAGAAGATTGACATCACGGTCCAGTTAATCTAAGCAACATCCTCCCTTGTTTCACTCACTGACAGATACATTTCAAACACAGGTGACAAGAGTTTTGATTTACACAAAAGCATTATGGGGGATATGCATAATCAGCACTCGCTTGGGAGGCTTCCTACACAAACTCAGAGCAGGTAGCCCCTACTGGCACCGCAGCTTCTTTTATGTTGGATCATAAGCTAGTGGAAATGGAATTATCTATTCATTGAGCACCAGCGCTATGTTGGCTCCCCTGGGCTTAAGGACTGCAGGACAATTCACTTTGGATCCTTTGACCAAGCGTGACAGCTGCATTCAAATCCTCTATAAATACATGCCTTTAGAAAGATGGCCTCTATATGCAGCAGGAGTTGTTGACGTGGAACATTTTCGCCGTGACCCAGGGCGGAGAGATCAACGCTGTTTATCTGAGGGTTGTGGCTGTTTATTTAAACACTGTTTGCTTTACTTTTGCTCTGTATCCTTTCAGCTGCTGCCATGCAAACTGTAATTAAGTTTCATCACTTCACTTAGTGTTATCTTTAGGAGAGGATTAGCACAACTTTAAAGACACGACGAGGCATTTATAAAGGCATTTATTTAGGGATGTGGAAGAGACTCCTGTTCAATCCCACTCCAACAAAACATTCCTGTCACGTGGCATTCCCATGCAAAGGTTATGCTACACCAGGGGGGTATACTACGAAGCAGGATTTTCGCTTAGCCGGCTAACTTCAGGGAAAACTCGGGGTTTCCGGTCCTATGAAGCTGGTTCTCTTTTTAGCAGGCTAGATCTCCATGGTAACTTATGCTGTGCGGCTAACCTGGTCGGGACCAGGTTAGGTTGCAGGCTAAGAGCTCAACTCAGTGAAAGCACCGCCTGCTGACCAATCAGAGCTCAGTGTGCGGAGTTTAAAGCGATCAAGTCATATTACAGGAGAAAGGAAATACAGAAAAGCTGCCGTTGCAGGAAAGACGGCCGGCAAAAATCAACCGACTGTGTGAACGTGAACATTAATAGAATATCACCTCACATCTTCAGAGCAATCTGACTATTATAACATTAGCGTTAAGAAAGCTTACTTAAATATCTGCCACAACATAAGTAACCGGATCAGAGTAACATTAAGTACAGTCCGCGGCATATCACTTCATAATGTATCATATATTTCCTTATCTGAGTCAGCTGAGCCGTATCTGGCCGTGCAACACTCAGTGTCACATACTGTATGCAGAAGTATTATTTTAAGCAACACATTAAGTTGACGAAACACTCGATTCAAATGTAATTAAAGTCAGATCGTGTCTTAGACGGGACAGTGATATCATAAACCTGTTAATGTACGCATTCAAACACTTTTTCTTTTGTCAGCTGTATTCACCTTGCAGGTGCAGCTATGTGGCTTTTATCCTGGATAAAGTGTTTAAGTCATGGATGTTTAAAGTTTAACTTCTTCATATGTCTAATATTATAGGTGACTTTTCATTCAGGAAGTATGACGCTGCGCTGTCAGTATGCTTCTCCATATTTGTGATTGGTCGAATGCTCCAAATACCACCCCTTTCATGTGAACGCGCACCTAACTACATAGGGCACGGCTGGCTTGAGCGATCCACTTGATAACCCGCGTCGTAGTACAGTTTAGCGAGAGCGCGTATGTTTTGGATTAGGCCAACCGGCTAACTCAAACATATCCAGGTTAGGTTGAACCAGCTTCGTAGTACAGGCCCCAGAGGTGTCAAACTCAAGGCCCGGGGGCCAAATCCGGCCCGCGACTTCATTTTCTTGGGCCCCACAAGAGCTTGCAAAGAATATAATATGTTTATTATACGGTTACATGCCGATTTACAGAAGCATGTTGCCCATAAACTACATGTCCCATAATGCATCTCAAATATGCATTTTTGTTTCAGAATTTGACTTTTCTTCTTCAAAATATGACTTTTTTCTTAGAATTTGACCTTTTCCTTTTCTTTTCTCAAAATGTCACTTACAAGTTACAACCGGCCCTTTAAGTGCAACCATAATGCGAATGTGGCTACACCCTTTAAAACCGAGGAGCATGAAAGTCAGGCTAGCACTTTTTCTGTTATTCTGCTTGCAAAAGGAAAGAAAAATCACCACTTTGTCTGAGATCATTAACGATCAGTAATAATCTTGGGCTATGACTGAGATGTCACAATTCTGAACTACCTTTTAATCAAAACTGCCTTTAAGCAATATTTTATACCCAGCCCCTCTGAGATGATGAAATTGTAGAAATGACTGTCAATGCCGTGCAGATCTAATGTTATTCGTTATTACAAGTGAGCAGAAAGCCCTTTGGAAATGAACCTGTAGAGCACTAGACACGAGTCAGGAAATTAGACCTGGACTTTTGGGAGTCTGCAACTAATTCCCTTTTCTTAATTATGTTATTTCAAACTTATATGACATAGTCCTGAATGTACTTTCAGTGAATGTGCGAGCACTCTTTGTCCTGGTGAATGGTATTAATTGACTGTTGATCAATCGATGGACTGTTTGTTTCAGCACCATTTTGAACACAAATATCCAGTATTTCCACATTCTGTTGTTGTCATTTTTTGTTCAAACATGCTTTACAGAACTTTTGACCACTAGTTGCACTCTTGGGCCATTCTTTTAAGAGTTGGTCCCCATTTTGTTCAGAAATTGTACATTGTTTAGCTGCCAGTTTAATGATGGTCCACTGATGATGAGTTAATGGTGTGTCTCTAATGTGTCTTTTGAAGGGTTTTTGGAAAGAAATGTGCTTAAATTGTAAAGCTATAACGCTGATATGTTCAAACACATCATCCTAATATTCAGTTTGGCAGCTTTAATATTACAGAAATCAGTCACATATGATTACATTTCATAGATCACTATTCTGTTGAGAGCAAAACATCGTTAAAATACATTTCCATTATAATTACAAAGAGACTCTTTCGGAAAGTCGGAGAAAAACATATTTTTTAGAGATAAAAAGTCCTCAAGTCAAGAGACAAACAAATATATCAATGTCAAAATGTTCCCACATCCCGGACGGTGTAATCCCTCAGTGACAGCAGAGGAATAGAATATAAGATGATCCAACAATACAGTAGCTAGATTGCATTTTCACATTTGATTCACTTGTGAAATCAAATGTGATCATTTTTGCAGGAAGAGAAAATAATAACAAATCAACCATCAGATTGTTGTGCTGTAAGATGTCATTTACCTTCTATGGTGTTTATCCGCTAGCTAGCACACATACAAAAAATTGGCTCCATTTGACTATGTTTTGAAATCGAATAATCGATTTTTTCTCGAAGGCTTTCCAAGTACACTACTGGCTTGTTATTACACATGTGTTTCCTTATAGCCATTAATGGTGGTGTTTTGGAGTCATTTCATCCCTAACTAGTAAACACTCCAAATTGGAATACTAACATGCTCGGTATGAATGTTTCCTCGGAGGGGGAGGTTGTTTTCGATGCCA